ACTCGGTTTGCTTAAAATAAAACATATTGAACTTTGTCCCACTAACATTAATCTATCGATATACAAATAATATACAGTTGCAGTTAATTGACACTCACAAGGAGACGCGTGCACAACATTTGCAACGAAAAGCGCGCGTAGTGCACTCATCTGGCGAAATCATATTTATAAACAAATTAAGAAAGCCGATCAACGGACAATAAACGGTTGTAATGGGAATTTTAGGTCTTTCAAAGCTTATTGCAGATTTAGCGCCACTTGCAATACGTGAAAGTGAAATAAAAAACTTTTTTGGTAAGCTTGGCTCGCTTGCTTCTGGTATTGAGAGTAAATTGAATAATCTTTTGCAGGTCGCAAAGTTGCCATTGATGCTAGCATGTGTTTGTATCAATTTCTAATTGCGGTTCGCTCCGAGGGCGCCCAGCTGGCTACTGTTAACGGCGATCCAACCTCACATCTGATGGGCATGTTCTATCGAACCATTCGTCTGCTCGACAATGGCATTAAGCCGGTTTACGTCTTCGATGGAAAGCCGCCAGATTTGAAGGCTGGTGAGCTTGCCAAGCGCGCCGAGCGACGCGAGGAGGCTGAAAAGGCACTCAAAGTGGCCACCGACGCGGGCGACGAGGCGGAGATAGAAAAATTCAATCGTCGCTTAGTGCGTGTCACCAAGGAGCACTCGAACGAAGCCAAAGAGCTGCTTAAGCTCATGGGTGTTCCATACGTGGATGCGCCATGCGAGGCTGAGGCCCAGTGTGCTGCTCTAGTCAAGGCAGGCAAGGTGTATGCTACGGCAACGGAAGATATGGACGCACTAACCTTCGGATCGTGCAAGCTACTCCGCTACCTGACGTACAGCGAAGCGCGTAAGATGCCCGTCAAAGAGTTCAGCTACGACAAGGTGCTGCAGGGCCTGGAGCTAACGAGCAAGGAGTTTATCGATCTGTGCATCCTCATGGGATGTGATTACTGCGACAGCATCAAGGGCATCGGACCCAAGCGCGCCATAGAGCTCATCAAAACCTATCGAGACATTGAGACCATATTGGAGAACATTGACACCAGCAAATATATAGTGCCAGAGAATTGGAACTATAAAAGAGCGCGTGAGCTGTTTGTGGAGCCAGAAGTAACAGACGCGAGCACCATTGATCTGAAATGGACGGCTCCCGACGAGGATGGCCTGGTGCAATTCCTCTGCGGGGATCGCCAGTTCAACGAAGAGCGCGTGCGCAATGGTGCCAGAAAGCTGCTCAAGTCCAAGCAGTCACAGACGCAGGTGCGACTCGATAGCTTCTTCAAAGCACTGCCCAGTTCGCCCAACGCCACAGCTGCGGCCAAGCGCAAGGCCGAGGAGATCAAGAAGAGTGCGAACAATAAGAAGGCGAAGACAAGTGGCGGCAGCGGTGCTGCTCGCGGCCGGAGACCAAAGTAATCTAAGATAACAAACATTTCCCAACGAAAAAAATACAAATTTCTTTAATTTAACCACAAAATCATATTGCTAACACTTTAAGCCTAGAAACTAACCGTCGTACAATTACAAAAACTCTTGAAGCTTAAACTCTAATTGGTCTTCGAAGTGGGCTTGGTCGTGGATGTGGATGTGGGTGTGCTGTGGGTGTAGTTTCTAGCGAGGATCAGGCGGCATCCTCGCCCACAACTACAGCAAATACTGCTTGGCCAGGGCGCGCAAGAAGCGTGATTTGCGAACCATGGCGCTCTCTCGTTTGATCTCCTCATTGTTGTTGGCATTCAGCTCCAAAGTGCCCATCATTGAGATCTGCAAAGTGAAATCAGTATCCGGATTAACACAGAATTACTTGAATTATTTGTGGCATTCGAACTTACCGCCTCCAGCTTGCGACTGTGCTCGCCTCGCTTGGCATGGAGATTGACAATAAACTCGAGCAGCGTCGTGTCCCATATGCAGCTGTAGTAGGCATCCATGGCATCTGTGAAATTGGAGCACTTCTCGGTGAGATTCTTGAAGACGATACCATAGTCGATCTCATCGAGAAACTGACAGAGCACGGTGGCCTGCATGTGGCAGCCCAGATTGGCCGCACACCTAATCATCTTCCTAATGACATAGTCATCGGCCACATTCCGCTGCAGCGGCATCGTGCAGTAGTCGGTGCCGGTGACCAGGGCGTTGACATAGCAGCGCATCGCGGACTCATTGTTGCCAATGGCCAGCTCCAGATCCCCCTTCATCTTCAGCCACGAGACCGTCTGCGGATAATAGCTGAGCGCCTCCGAGAGCAGCCACTGCAGCGTCTCAGAAACACTGCGCAGGCTGTAACCATTCGGGCTGGAAAGATGCATCAGAGGTGAGTTACTTATATATACTTATGTGGAATTTATGTGGACTAACTTGTTAATGCTGGTGGGCCAGAGCTGCATGTATTCGCAGTTCAGATCGTGATTGGGATCGTCCTTCAGTATGTTGTGCATTTTGCCGAGCATGGATATGGCCAGTCCGAAGACACTCTGATGCCGCACACGCTGCAGGAAGGCTTGGAGCGCGCTGCTGGCGCCGATGCCGGCGCCGGCGGCTGCCGCCCGCTTGGGCACATTGAGGAACATGCTCAGCATCAGTTCCCAGGCATCGCGGCACACTTTCTTGGGGCCCTTCATCTTTTCCATTTCAATGAAGGTGGCCGCAAAGGCCAGCGGCAACTCCAGCTGCTGTGCCCGTTTGTCGAGGTAAAGAAGTGGCGGAAAGTCGGTTAGATTAAGTAGCATGATGGCGCAGCTCTCCAGGATCTCCAGTCTTGGCATCATGGAGTCGCCCGCCTGCAATGCGCCCAGACACTGCTTGCAGCGCGTGCCGAGCGCTTGCAAGTCGAGTGGCTTCTGATGCCATTCGTCCAGGCACTGTGTAATCTGTATGTGCAGGATCTCCCACGTTATCAGCTTGCACATCAGCTGTGTGCTGCTGCCCAGCTCCTGGCGCTGCGTCTCAGACTTGAGCACACTCAGCATGGATACGGCGTCAATGTAGCTGCCACGTGTTGCCAGCTCACGCGCTTTGCCCAGCAGCACATAGCTGAAGTCTTGCAGGAAGCTAACAGGCATCGCCATGATCAACGCCTTCAGCGGCTGCGGTACATCCCAGCTGGGATTGATGGCCCACAGCGGCTTGCCAGGTGCCGTGCCGCACAGTTTCACCAGCAGTATGCGCACGCTATTCGCATTGGTGCAGCTAATCAGCTGGCGCTCCAGAGCGGCCACGTCGACGCGGTTCACTGAGAGCAATAAAATGAGTTGGGATTAAAAAGAGATCGACTTTACAGTTATAGCTGTGACTCACTCTTGGAGTGGCAAATCCAATCGTTGAGTGTGGCCAACGAATTGCTCAGCACTGGCAGCGATGCCTGCACCAGCTGCTCTTCCAAGTCGACCAGCTCCTCACTGGAGAAGATAGCCATGCCGCGCAGCGTGTGCAGCAGCTGTCGACTCTGTTCCATCTGCTGTTTCTGCTGCTGGTGCAGCACACAGTCGATGAGAAAATGTTTGAGAGCCGACTGCTCCGCATGGCTGCAGTATGTCAGCGCGTCCTGCATTGCCTCCATGATGGGCGGCATGTAGTCCAGATCGTGGTACTTCTCAAAGTACTCGACGCTGCCAAATATGTTGCCCCACTCGAAGACGGTGCGCACCACATTCAGGGCGGCCACATGCAGCAGCAGCTGCTGAGGCATCTCCTTGAGCAGCCCCGTTGAGATGGCTCCCTCAATGTCCAGCTCGACGTTACGCCGGCTCACCAGCGGAATTTCGCGTGCGCGATTGTCTTGGCGCAGTATGGGGATAATGTCCGCATAGCTGTTCAGCAGGGATTGGTGAAAGCGCTCCAATAGCGTTTGCTGCTGCGCACTGATTCCGCAGGCCTGCAGCAGCCCCTCCAGCTCCTCGGCGCGAACGTGGCAAAAGTAACGCGTCGCACCGGCGGGAATCGCCTGCAGACTCGCATTGCAAGCAGCCGCCGCCTCGCGGGCCAGCACGTACTGCTTGGTGTGGAGGTAGTAATGGGCCAGCTCAAACTGCAGCTGAGCGCGCAGCTCTTGGGGCGTAATCAGGTGCATCAGGTCATAGTTCTGAGCCGTGCTCAGCGTGTCGCACTGCAGCGCCACAAAGCTGTCGTAGTGAAACACATAGAAAGGCTTGCTGGCTGCCGCCGGCGAGCACAACTGCTCGAGATATTCGATGGAAGGCTGGGTGGGTGTGTCCAAAAACTGCTGCAGCTGATCAACGGTCTGAAACCTACTCAAGAGAAACTCCCTCAATATAAAGGTACTCAAAATATGAATATTTAGGACTTACATGGACCGTGGACTCTTCAGTGCGCTGTCTTTGATGAGCTGCAGCCGCAGTACCATCCTGTGGTAGATGGTGAGGGCAAAGCGCGCCGCACGCTCATTGCCCGTGGGCGCTGCAATAAAGAATGCTATGAAACAAGCCTTATATTCAGAATCTCGAGGGAGCATACAAATCTTTAGATCGAAATCACTGTGAAAAGGAATGCTGACGATGCGGCCATAGCTAATGGTGCACAGATCACGCAGTAGACCCAGCTGCATTATCACGGGCAAACCCTTCTCCAGTGCATCCAAATCCCATCTCAGCCAGGTGGCCACCTTTAGCTCCAGGATCTTGAGGGCCAACTGTTTGCGTGTCAACTGCAACTGCTGCTGCTGTTGCTGCTGCTGTGTTAGGAGCGGTACATTGAGTGCCGCGGAGGCCGCTGGGGTGGTGGCATTGGCGCCGACGCTCGCGCCACTTATATTTTGCAAATCGCTTCCCGGCGTCACCACAGTGGACGCAATTGCTGTGTCCGGCGTCATGCTGATGAACTGCATGATGAGCTCCACGGCGCTGGGTTCTGCAAGAATTTAGTGACCAATGTTAGATCTGCAAAGTTTGTATCAGATTTCACAGTATCCACGTACCGGGATTTTTGCATTGCAAATGCTCTGTGATTTTATTGGGATCTAGGAGAAACTCGAACCACAATACTGTCTCCGCTGCCAGCGGCACTGGCTTGGGCTTCAAAGGGTCCTCCATCGTGTGTTGATAAATTAAGTCCCTGATTCTTCTTCGTCAAACATATGTTTTCGGCATCAGAAAAATTAACATTTTGTTCCAATGTTAGTTAACAGCA